CGGGGACCTTCTGGAGCTGTGGGCGGTTCTGTCTTGACTGTGTGGTGGTTGCCCCACGGGTGCCTTTGTCGAAGGACAGAGCTGAGGCCCAAAGGGGCGACTTTACTGTAAGGTATAGAAGACAAGTCTAGGGAGTTTTCAAAAACATTTTTAGTGAAAAGAAAATCCACAGGCAGCTGGGTGCGAGGGAGTATAGCCCACCATCAGTACCTCAGTTTGGGGAAAGCCCCTTTGCACCGAGATGCTCTGTCTTACACTCATTGGGACACGTCACACATTCGACACTGAAAGTTCTAGAACATTAGCGTGGGGAGGGGACCACCATCCAGCCCAAATGTCCTCCCTGCTTTTTGTTTTTTAACAGATAAAGAATTTTAAACCCAGGCTGGGGACTGACTCACCCAAGGTGACATAAATTCTGAAAGCTTTTCCTAAGAAGTTTGAGGTTGTTAAAAACAAAATTTTAAAGCCACACACCCAAAGAACAGAGAGAGAAAGAGAACATTCACGCTTACAACAAACGAACAAAAACAAAACCTACTAAGAGAACAGGAGACGACAAACCTCGGAGTTTCATGTCACTTGCTTTCCTCAAGGATCCTGTGGGAAGGTGCCGCTGGGCCCTGCTGGAAAAGTGCCTCAGTTACAAACACGCACCAGCGTGCGACAGGCTTTTCATGATCAACTCCGGCTTCCCAAACTGGGGTCCCTGGAACGCCAGCCTATACAGCAAAAGTTCAGAGAAACAAACCTCTACAAACCAGACCCCATAGTATCCTGCCGTGCCCAACACATGCTAGCATTTTAAAAGCTAGAAAGCATTCCGGTAAAAAAGCACCCTTCTTATTTTTTTTTGTTTTTTTTGTTAATTAACTAAAGTCTACACTTTATTCGGGTTCCCTTAGTTTTCACCTAACATCCCTTTCCTGTCCCAGGATCCCACCGAGGACAGCATATTACACTCAGTGGCCGCGTCTCCTCCTCTGGGCCGTGGCAGTTTCTCCGAGTTCCCTTGTTTTTCATGACCTTGACCGTTTTGAGGAGGACTTTGTAAGATGTTCCTCAGCTGCGGTTTATCTGATGTTTTTCTTACCAGGAGACTGGGGTTCTGGATTTTGGGGGATGCCCACAAAGGTGAAGGGCCCTTCTCATTGTGAGCATCAAGGGCACGGCTATCGCCACGATGCATCACAGGTGAGATGCTTGAGCACCTGGCTGAGTGGTGCCTGCCTGGCTTCTCCACTGTGACGTCGCCTTTCCCCTCCCTCTCTGGGAAGAGGCCACTGCGCAGCCCACACTCAGGAGTGGGAGGCTAGCGGCCACGTGAAACGCCGGCGCAGAGAGCCCTGTCACCGGTTCACAAAGTGTGGACGCACCTTTGTCTGTACTTGGGCTGAAACCGCACCCTTTATTTCGTTCCATCTTTGGCTGGAACTTGTTCAGTTGGTTTCCACGTCCTTTTGACGCACCCAAACCACCCTCACTTTGATCTCGGAAGGAGAACATCTTATGCGCTATTTAGTTCTCTCTAGGCCGAGTTTAGACAGAAGTACCAAAAAAGTGAAATTATAACCAGTAGAGGAACCGGACACTCCTTTGTCCCCACTGTCCCTCGCAGAGGTTTGGGCCAGACTCAGCACCAACGCATGTTTTCTAGACCAGCTGCACCAGGTAAGGCTTCCTCTAAGACTATTCCATCAAAAGGTATTCTACACACGTGATTTAAACACACTATTAAACAACACGCAACAAGCATACGAGGCCGCAGCCCCAATATGCACCACCCCTGCTCCCCCTGGAGTTGGCTGTGCGGATTCTCCACAGGCTCCTTCATACTCACTCAGCACAGCATTTACACCAGAAGCAGAAACCTACTTTGTAAAGTGTCTCCACGTGGGATCAAAGACCCAAGGGCATGTGCCCTCCCAAGCGTCCTCACCATCATGGTGTTTGGGGTTCAAAAGAATGACTTCTGGGCCGGCCGAGTGGCGCGATGGTTAAGAGCTGGCTTGGGACGCCAGAGGGCCCCGGTTCGGATCCCACATATGAGGTCCAGTGACACTGCCCTCTACAGCTAAGATGCTGAACAACAGCTCAACCTGGAGCTGGGCTGCTGTGAGTCGCCAGCGACGGCGTAGGCTGCAGCCCCTGTGGCTGTGGGTTGCCATGGGCTACCGTGTGTAGCCAGCAGCCAGCGTGAGCAGCCAGCAGCTGCAGTGAGTGGCCGTCCAGAAGCCAGCGACTGATCTGCCTCACCCGGGAAGAGCGCAATGATGGTGCCAACTTGGGCCAGTGAAGCAACGTCCTTCACAACTAGACTGAAGAACAAAACGACAGCAACTTGTCTGTTCCCCTTCCCCCAATTCCCCAGCACTGTTCCCATGTCCCAATTCCCCAATAAAAATCTTAAAAAAAAAAATCATCAAGACTATAATTGAAGTCACCCTGTTACACAAAACTCTGCCATTCTTCCTGGCCACTCCAAGGTCAAAGCTGGCCGTGGGGAGACCGCCCAGCCCCCTCCCCTCCAGCCCCAGAAGCTGACTTTCTGCCCTCAGAGTCCCAATCTGCCTTGCATGCTGTCGCTGCTGGCCTCTTTATAGCCACCCCACTCTGGCTCCAGCTGAAAGTCCTTGACCCTAAAGGGCTGCAGCTGCCCCCACCCCCACCCCCACCAGCCCAGGGCAGCTCGCCAAGGCCACAGCCTCCAGAGCTGAAAATTCCAGGGGAGCACTTCCGGCCTGGTGAAGGTGCTGTGGTTATGTCCAAAAAGGCCGTCCCATTTAGGGAGACATACGAGGGGGGTGAAGCAGGACTGGCCGGGTATTGTGGGTCCTTGAAGCTGAGAGAAAGTTCCACGAGTCCCTTCTGTCGTATGTTTCAAATCTTCCTAATGAAGAGTTTAGAAGTCACCACCTCTGCCTGACAGCCACCAAAACCAAATCTCTCCCTTCAAGCAAGTCCTGTCCAGGAAGCTCTGACCCTGAGTGCCCGCCGCCCATCTGGCATCTGGCCAGGCACACGCATGCACACACACGCTGCACCTCATGTCATCTGGCCCCAAGACCCCACCCACCACCTCCAGTGACCCCCGTTTCCATCTTGCAGCTCCACGCCCCCAGACCTCACTGCCCAGCCTCCTCTGGGTCTCTAGTAGGTTTTTCCAACTTGCCAGTCTAAGATGAAACTCTGGTCTTCCCCAAAACTACGCCCCTGTAGTCCTCCCGGCTCAGGAGGATGACCCCGTGTCTGGTTGCTCAAGCTAAAGACACTTCACGTCACCTTGACTCCCTTCTTCCAAACCTACAACCAGTTATCAGCCATTGTGGACTGCCTTCCAAATGTGTCCAGAACTGTCCCCGCTTCCGGGCCCAGCCATTCTCATCTGTCTCCTAATGGCCACCCCCTGCCCTGAACCCGGCCCTCATCCTCAGCCCAGAGCAATGCTGCTGGAGCCTAGTGGGAATCAGGCCACGGCCCTGGAGAAAGCCCTCACTGCGCCCAGACGCCCCACCGGACAAGCCCACCTGAGTCCTGCAGCTCGGCCCACACGCCCCTCCCGGAGCGCCAGGCCTCCCCTGACCGCACCTGGCGGTCCCCTCTCCCATCCTGTCCTCACTGTAAGGCCACCATCCATGAGGCCTTCGAGGCCCCTTATCGCACATTTCAGCGTTCCCCACCTCGCGCTGCCTTTCCACGTGTGCATGCTCCTCCCTGGGCCTTATCATTCTCTAACATTCTCTGTATCCTCCTCTGTGTCAGCGTTGGCACCCTTCAGGGAACTCACACCCCACCTCGCGGGCTCTTTGCTTCTTTGTCCACAGCTGTGCCCCACAGCCTGGCATGGCACTAAGCATGTGGTTGGTGTTCAATATATTTACTGGGCGAGCATGTGCGTGCACACTTATTCCACAGACCTTGCACCTAATTCGTCCCAAGCCTAATGTGTTTTCCCCAGGATGCGCCCCTCTTTTTGTGGCCTCCACTGCAGGAAAACTGGCTCCACTGCCTGCTGAGACCCCTGAGCCAGAAACCATAAAGGTTCCCCTGAAAACTGAATAGCTGGCAGGTCCGGAGCCAGACTTCCTGGGTCCAAACCCCACGTGTGCTGCCCACCTGGCTGTATGGCTTCAGATGTCTAAAGTAGCTTTTCCCAGCCTCAGTTTCCCTGTTGGTAAAATGGGCAAACGGGGTGGCCAGTTAGCTCAGGTGGTTAGAGCGCAGGCTCATAACAACAAGGTTACCGGTTCAATTCCCACATGGGCCACTGAGCTGTGCCCTCCACAACTAGATTGAAAACAATGAATTGGAGGGCCGGCCTAGTGGCTCAGTTGGTTAAGAGCTCGCTCAAGAGTTTGAGCTCTGAGCAACAGCGGTTCGAGTCCAGCCCGAGCTGAGCAGCCGCTGAGCTGCCAACAGGTAGCAGGACGGCTCAGCTAAAAAAAAAAAACAAAAAAACAATGACTTGACTTGGAGCTGATGGGTCCTGGAAAAACACACTATTCCCCATAAAGTTAAAAAAAATGGGCAAATGTATGACGTGTCCATGACGTGACAGATGAGGGGGGTCAGCATGCTGGTTTATTATTTCATTGGCTACTCCAAGACATACATGTCACTTAGCCCAGTCCATGCAAATCACCGCCCAATAGAGTCAGAAGGCTTATAGGGCATCCTGCCACTGGAAGAGCGACATTTAAATCAAAGTGTCACCGTCCACAGGGGTGGTGGAAGTCTGTATGCTACACAGTGTGTTTTCTTATTTGATGGGAGGGTCTTGTCCAAAATTCTCTAAAATAAATAAATAAATAAAATAAAATAATAAAATTCTCTCTGGAGGCCCTGTGTTGTAGGTTGAATGGACACGCCCCAAAATATATGTGCACATCGTAACCCCTGGAACCCATGACTGTGACCTTATTTGGAAAAAGGGTCTTTGCAGATGTAACTTAAGGGTCTCAAGAAGAGATCAATTATCCTGGACTTGGGTGGGCCCTAAATCCTATGACAAGTGTCCTCATAAGAGAAAGGAAACCACACACACACACACACACACAGGAGAAGGTGATATGAAAAGAAGGCAGAGGCTGGAGTGATGTGACCAGGAGCCGAGGGTTGCCGGCCTCCTCCAGGAGCTGGAGAGGGGCCTGGGACAGAGTCTCCCTCAGAGCCTCCGGGGGGCACCCAACACCTGGATTTCCAACCTCTGGCCTCCAGGGCTGTGAGAGTAAATCTGTTGATTAAAGACCCCAGTTTGTGGTCATTGCTAGGGCAGCCCCGGGAAAGTAATACGCCCTGTTAAGTACAAGGATTGGTCCTCTGAGAAAAATGACATGATCTTAAAGGATTCTGTTCTTTTCATTTGAACTTCAAAAGAGCAAGGTGCTGTTTACTCTGGGAGGAACGGGAGGGACCCCAGTCTGGGCTGGAGGCATCTGCAGTCCAACGTGAGCACCAAGGGTGGGCACAAGGGCAGGCGAGACACGAAAGCATCCTGAGTTCAATTTTGGTCACAAGAACACCAATCATCTAAAGTGACATTATTTCCAGTATGTGGGGAGAAATACCCCAACTGGTAGGGAACACAGAAAAAGAAAAGAAAGTTTGGGTCCATTTTTTAAAGGTACCATCCTTCAATGCTGTATTGGAGTTTTAGAATGCAGTGTGAAAGACTATATAAAAGAATATCACATCTGTAAAAGAATATATATGGAGGGTATTGTTATACTAAAAAACCAGAAATAATCCTAGCCCCTCCTCCCCACCTGGGAAAAAGTCATTGCTATAACCTGCCTTCACAGGTGTCGAGAAGTGATAACCTGGTAACCTGAGGTTTTAAAAATGGAAAAGTTCGAGAGCAGCAAACCAACTTCTGGCCAGTCCTTGATTCTGCCCCTCGTCCATCCTGACTCCCAACTTCACACAGACGTGGTTATGAAGCAGGAGGATGGAAAACTCAACAGCAAAACAGAAATGGAAGACAAGAGTGTGCATTCACCCCCCAGTGTCTTTTGCTGGTTAAGGGCACCAGATGGCAAAGGATCAATGTGGTGACTTGACATTTGTTAAAAGTTGAACACTTGGAAAACTTTTCTAATGAAGCTGTTAAAAATTCACTTTGTAAATAGAATGTTTAATGCATTAGAAAAACACTGAATAGCAAATATTTACTTTAAATAATACAAATTGAATGCCTGCCAACAAGGCAGGAAGAGGAAAAAGATAGATGATGGTCAGGAGCTTTCCCGAACAGTCCAAAACCCCAGGCTGGGGCGCCGCCTCGCTCCAGGGGAGGAAGGCAGTGGCCAGCAGCAGCCCCTTTTCACTCCACCCCTGCAGCGAGGCCCAGGAGGGGCGGTGGCCCTGGGCGACAAGCCAGCTCCCCAACCAGAGCCTCCTCGGAAAGTTCCTACCTGATGTCGGGCAGGGAGCGCCAGGGAGCAGCGGCTGCAAATGACAGGTGGAGGTGAGTCCCAAGAGCCGCTGCTGAGAGAAGAGGGGTCAGGAGACAGAGACACGGGCCTGGAGACAGAAGAAGGAATCAGAGCAGGTGCAAAACGGTCTTTTCACGAAGATGAGCTTAGCAAATCTACTCTCAAAACCTGGAGGAAAGGGGAACTGGATATTGGGAGCCGCCCCTTTTTTCCAAAGAGAAAGCTGTCCAGTTCCCACCCCATGCGAAGAGGCCCAGTGGGAGCGTCAGACTCCGAACAAGTGACCTCTAAGCTGGCCTCTAAGCTGACATCAGTGCTTCCCAACTTGCATCTCCTCTTTAAAGGAAAAACACGTTTCAAAAGTTCTCTCTTACCAATACTCAACAATTAACTGTTCGAGTTCAAGAGCAGACACCCTTTCCTTACCATACAATTTGCTCTGAAAGGTTTCTCAAAAGCCTTTCCCAGAAGTGGCTTCTCAGAGGATTCGCTTTATTGCAGCATAGACACAGCAGCACCCAAACAGCCGGTGCTTTCACAGGATGCTGTGTCTTTATTTTCCCTCCACTTGCAACTAAGATCTGGTTCAGCCTGCAGATACCTGAGCACCTTCCCTGGACCAGGAGCCCAGACAGGAGGAAGCCTGTGAGGGCCGCCTCTCCGAGGATGCACCCCGCGCACATGCTACGTTGTTCAGACACACTTCTAAGAAGAACACATGCTGATGTGAACACCTTCCAGGGCTGTGTCACAGTCTCCACAGCCAGGCCCCTGGGCCAGGTCGGTGCTCAGGAAAGACTTACTCCAGTGGAATCGTCCCAGGGAAGTCAGGAGACTAAACACAATCCCCTTTTCCTAACTGCAGAGAGAGCAAGAATGGACACCCCAAATAAGCATGTCCCCTTTGTACGGTAAGGTTGGTTCTGTAGGGGGACATTAAGGCCTGTATTTTGGTGCACAAATCACAAGGTGTTTTTTTTCTTTCTCTTTTTTTTTTTTTTTTTTGGTCCCTTCCAGTGTTAATTTTTAAGACAGACATCTTCATACCATACTTGGTATTATTTTGAACAGACACTTTTTTCTACCACTATTCTGAAATACAATAAATAAAAAGAAATGACAGTGGACTCCCCCCATCCCCTGACCCATTCTGCAATCTCCTGTCCCTATGCCACCTGACAAAAAGGGTCAAAAATTGTAACTCATGTTCAAGACAATGCTGACCAAGCCTTAAAGGGAAAAAAACATTCATTTCGGAAGTGGCCTCTTCTCACTTTACCTGGTGTTTGTGAGTCGAGCTCTCCAAGGGGACTGGGCTGGTAGCTGAACCCATTGGATCACAAAGTTCTACAACCAAAAGAATACCCGTTCAGGCCAAAGGAATCCACATAAAACATGAACACAGGACCGCAGGGACTTTACTTCCTATTTTAAGTCACTGCTTTAGAGGAAACCACAGCTTAAAATAGTATTTCAGAGAAAGACTGTGTAGCTTTGTGGGTGGAGTGGGTGGAGGCTAATTAACCCCAGGTTAATTCCCAGGTGTCCTAGACTTCTCCTGGGGGCTTGGGGGAGGTGAGGGGTCCACACTGCCCAAGCGTAGGCTGGCTGCTGTCTTGAAGGCAGAGCAGGGTCAGCCCCCAGGCCACCCTCCCACCCTCACCCTGGGCAGAGCTGTCCCAGGCCACTCCTTGTTGGAAGTCTGCTGGAGGGGCGCCCCTCAATCCCTCCTCATACCTGGGGGAAATGAAGGAACCCCCACATCACTAGCCCCCCATATCAGAGTCTCCCCCTGCAGACCTGACTCCTCGGGGAGGGACAGTCCTCCACTGGGTGAAATAAAGAAGCGTCTCGCGGCTAGGACCCCAGCCCAGGAGGGTGAGGCACCACCCTCACTCCTCACTCCGCATGGCCGGGCTCCCTCACAGGGTGTGGGAGTGGGGAATGCGGTTGGTGATGTTCTCATTCCCAAAGGGCAGGGACCACCGCCCTTGGGGGGCAACGTCCTCACCACCACGGAGCAGGGACCCCCATGCAGGATCCGGGTTGGGCAGCCTCAGGCCCCTTCTTGCTGGGGCGGCACCTTTCCCCCTGGTATCCACGCCGGCGCCACAAGTGGCAGCACCTGGGTGCCCACCTGCCCTAGACTGAGGCCGGACAGCGGCTTCCCAGACTCCCAGAAAAGCAGCTCTATTCAGCCTTCAGGGGTGACAAGGAACTGGAGCGTAGGGGTGTTGTTGCTCAAGTTGGGGGCTAACGACAGTCGCTCGAGAGAGGCTGGCCCAGGGTACTGCTTATTCAGAGCAGCGTCGGGGTGCAAGGGTCGGGTGCGCAGGGCACAGACTGTCACTGCACTTACCTTCTGAACGGCATGTCCACTTTATGCCCAGTGACCATCCCTGGGTCAAGAAGGAGGGCCTTGTGGGCCAGACCTGTGTGACGTCACAGGCATCTCCATGGCAACGAAGCACGCGGCTCGGGGAGCCCAGGTCCCCGCCCTGCGCCCAGGGAAGGACCCAGTGTCGTCCGTCGGGGTCCGCAGCCCAGCCCCCCCCCCAGGCCGGCCTCCAAGTGCTGCTCCCTGAGGCCGCCCGGCCGCCCAGACCCTCCAGAAAGCTCCGGATCCTTCCACTGGGCCCCTCCGTCTGTGCTCCACTCGCGGCCAAAGAGGTCTTTCCAACGTCGTACTTTTGCCACAAACCTTGAGTGACTCCCCTGGGCCCTGGCTCGACATCCAAGCCCTTTCACGCGAGCCCACCCCCTTCCAGCGGCACCCTCCGGGCTCTACCTGAGAACTGCCCAGCCCCACGCGGCAGCCACCCCCACCGCTCCTGAGTCTGGAAAGCACCAGGCCCCTCCCCTCCCACCACCCAGCTCTGTCTTCCGGAAACGCGCCCCTCACCCTGCCCCCACCTTCCACTATCTTAACCTTTGCGGTTTAGTTTGGCACCTCCTCCGGGAAGCCTTTCTTTCTTTTTTTCTTTCTTTTTAATTGGAGAATTGGGGGAAGGGGAATAGACAAGTTGCTGTAGTTTTGTTCTTCAGTCTAGTTGTGGAGGACGTTGCTTCACTGGCCCAAGTTGGCACCATCATTGCGCTCTTCCCGGGTGAGACAGATCAGTCGCCGGCTTCTGGACGGCCGCTCAC